ATTATTTATAGCAATTATATCCGATTTTATGTCATGAACTCCTTTATGTTTATATTGAAAAGGTCGACTATATTGGACTTTTTTTTATCGTTATCATCAACTTTAGCAAAGGCCGATATTAACGCCCATTTAAAATAATAAACATCATTGTTATGTACATTGATACATGCTTTTGTATTTAATATTTTTCTCGGTAAACAAATGTAATTAGAGCCCTTTATAGGTTCATATTTATTTATATATTTAACTCCAAATGCACTATTTCAACTAATGACCAACCACTGCCTCGTTCTTGAAACTCACTCATTTAATTTTTTATATAATCATATAAATTATTTATTATTTCATTTAGTTTTTCATCACCATCATCACACATTGTTGTTGGGTGTAAAGTGTCCATTTTCGTTTGAAATGATTTAAGGTTGAGTTGACATTGAACTTGACTTTCTTTAATTAAAACATAATTGCAAAATTGTTCAAAATTAAACTTTATACTAATGTGCTTTTGTAGTACGTCTTTTATTAATTGTTTCACTTGTTCATTGATTAATTGATGAAATAAGGTAATATCCAAACATTGTTTATAGGATTTTCAACTATATACATACGTTTCAATGCGATTACGAAACGCACTTCTTACACATCTTATGTTACACTAGTCAACACGATTTTTCCTCAAGGAACAAAACGAACTTTTTCTTAAAGATTTGGGGCTTAGAAATGGTTTGATGATATTTTTTTTTTTTTTTCTATGGCAGAACTTTTTTTTAAAGAATTTTTGAAAACTGGAATTATTTTTAAGCTTTTTTCAGAGGTAGCGCTTGTTTTTTTCACATAACTCTAGTATCTTACGTCTGGTTGTAGAGAACTTTGCTATTTTGAAAAGATAATTAAAACAGCTAGAAGTCAAGTTGTGGTTCACGGCCATAATAACTTTTTTGAAAACTTGTATACTGATATGTATAATATGAATAATAGGGCATAACTATTCAAACTAAAATTTTGATTTAATCCATCATATGGATATACTTAGATACACTTTCACATCACTTTAATTTCAATGAATATACTTCTTATCATTACTAAATGCAATAATAATATAGCGAGGACGTCCTGTTTCAACTGCTAATTTCACATTCCATATAAATGAAGTACTCTGTGGAACTACTGGATTATAATAGATATCCCAACTCCTGAATGATAGCAATAACGGTGTTGGTTCGTTTATTACTTTAAACATGTATAATTTATAAACATCAGACAATTGTATATGAGGTATTTTCCATACAATGCTAGAAATTTTCATTTTCAATTTCGAGCTGTTTACAGCAACATCAGTACTTTTAAAAACACTATCATTATCCTTTGCTCGTAATAGAATAAGTTCATGCTTTCCATTTAGTAATATCTTGTTATAGTCTTCTGCAAATCCCAGTAACATGTTCAACGGTATGCAAAAATTAAAGTTTCCTTTTTCTATTTTTAAATCATCATCAATTGGCCATCCAGAATTTTTTAATACAAGCTGTTGATTTTGATTGATTGATAAGTAATTTTTCAAATCAGTTGTCACACCCAAATGTCGCGTTCGATCAATTTCAATACCGTTCAATTCATAACGTATTTCATCAAATAGATATGCCATACAATTATTCAATAAAGCTATATTGCTTACGACTGAATCATCAAGATTAGTGATATGCCCTTGAATGTGTAGAAAACTTTCGCTTGGTAAAACATACAAATCTTGATTTTGTATTGCAATCCGAATTTCATCATTGTTGCCATACGATCGTAAATAAGATGAATAACTATGATAATCTTTTTATACCCGTACTCAAAAAAGAGTTAAGGGGTATATTAGATTTGTGGTAAAAGTGGATGTGTGCAACGCAGAGAAGGAAACATTTCCGACCCATAAAGTATATATATTCTTGATCAGCATCAATAGCCGAGTCTATATAGCCATGTCCGTCTGTCCGTCCGCCTGTCCGTCTGTCCGTCCGTCCGTCTTGATGAGCGCCTGGATCTAGAGACTATAAGAGCTAGAGAAACCAAATTTGGTTTCCAGACTCATGTGATATCACACTGCTACAAGTGTATTTCAAAATTTCGCCCCGCCCCCTTCCGCCCACACAAAGGACGAAAATCTGTGGCAGGCACAGTTTTAAAGATACGATAAAACTAATATACATTCAAAATCAGCATATACGACAAAAGGAACATCTAATTGTTTTTTATAATTTTTTAAGCTTAATATAGAAACATTAATTTCTGGCATCTTAGTTATAATTCTATTACACTCTAGACTATGTCGTTTAAGTTTGTTGTTATCATGAAAATGTTGTAGACATGTATTGCATAAATACAGTTTTTTCGTATTTTTCGTCACTTGTTTGCGGGAGCAATCTAATGGAGGGTGGGGGAACATAAAAAGAAAACGTAATAATTTTTTTGTTTATAGAATATTCCATTTGTATAGATACCTTGAAATATTTTTAATCCAAACATCGTGATATTTAGCATCCTTTTCGAGAAGTAACAAGTATATGTTGTGTAATACGTTACTAGTTTTATTATTGGTGAAATAATATGTTCCGATTATTGTACTATCATCCACGTCTAATCCTAACACAGTTATACTAATTTCAGTATTATTATCTTCAAATGTTTTAATGCACTCAACCGGTGTTGGAAATTTTAATCCAGTAAAATTTAATATTTTATTATTTATAGCAATTATATCCGATTTTATGTCATGAACTCCTTTATGTTTATATTGAAAAGGTCGACTATATTGGACTTTTTTTTATCGTTATCATCAACTTTAGCAAAGGCCGATATTAACGCCCATTTAAAATAATAAACATCATTGTTATGTACATTGATACATGCTTTTGTATTTAATATTGTTCTCGGTAAACAAATGTAATTAGAGCCCTTTATAGGTTCATATTTATTTATATATTTAACTCCAAATGCACTATTTCAACTAATGACCAACCACTGTCTCGTTCTTGAAACTCACTCATTTAATTTTTTATATAATCATATAAATTATTTATTATTTCATTTAGTTTTTCATCACCATCATCACACATTGTTGTTGGGTGTAAAGTGTCCATTTTCGTTTGAAATGATTTAAGGTTGAGTTGACATTGAACTTGACTTTCTTTAATTAAAACATAATTGCAAAATTGTTCAAAATTAAACTTTATACTAATGTGCTTTTGTAGTACGTCTTTTATTAATTGTTTCACTTGTTCATTGATTAATTGATGAAATAAGGTAATATCCAAACATTGTTTATAGGATTTTCAACTATATACATACGTTTCAATGCGATTACGAAACGCACTTCTGTAGTCTGGACAGCAATTCACAACGCGTGCTTTCTCGTCTCTGCTCGATCCAAAACTGATCTCGCTCTCATTTTATTCTTCTCCTTTTCTTCTTCGTATTCTTTGCGCTCTCTTTACATTGAGAGTGTCTCTATATGTGTTGGTGCTGAGAACACGATTACAGTGGGCTTAATGGCTAGTATTAAATGTATGTACAGTGGTATTAGGGGATAGTACTGCTACAATTCGGCCTATCCTGACAGTGAGGATCTCCTGATTCTCTTTGCCATGTTTCTTGTTATTATGCTGCTCTCAGCCATTTTTCTAACATTTTTCTTTCTTACATTTTTTCTTTGCATTTCGCTTGCTATGATCTTATTCCTTGAATCAGTTACATCCTCTTCATTCTTATTTAAATTGCTTTCGTGTTCATTTACATTTTCATTTTCTAATTTAGTATTTACATTTTGTTCATTATTTACATCTTCTTCATCATCTAATTCATTATTTACATTTTCTTCATCATCTAATTCATTATTTACATTTTCTTCATCATTTAACTCATTGTTTACATTTTCTTCATCATTTAACTCTTTGTTTACATTTTGATCATAAACCCATGGTTTAATATTGTGGACAGCCCATATTCCTGAATAGGGGATTTGAGTTTGTTGGAATCCTTCTATATCTTGCACAACATACCTATCGTTATCTAAAACTTTTGAAATTCTATACGGTCCCTTGAACTTTGGAGCTAGTTTACTGGACGTTCCTGGTTGTGAGTTGAAATTTCTAATCATAATATAATCATCAATAGAATATAGTCTGGGTCTCTGTCGCTTTGTATCAACGTAACTTTTATTGTACTCTTGAACTTTCTGTTGAACTATTGCTGCTTTGCATCTTGTATACTCTAAGTCTCTTTGGTCGCTACTTTGATTTTCTTCGACTATGTTTTCTTTTAAACTATCTATACTATTGCCCTTTTGTAATACACCAAAGAGCATTACGCTCGGGTATTCGTCTATGCTTCTATTTTTTGTGTTATTCATTGCAAACTCCACTTTGTCCAAAACTTTATGCCATTGCTCATTTTTTTCTACGTCTCGAATCTTGGCAATCATTGGTCCTAAATCTCTATTAATTCTTTCCACTTGCCCGTTAGCTTGCGGAGACCCTGTTGCTATTTTTATGTGATTGATGTTCTGTGATTCTATGAATGATTGAAATTCGTGGGAGGTGAAGCAAGAGCCTCTGTCGGAAACTAGGTGCTTAGGGCGACTGTACGCTTTAAAATAATTTTGCAAAGCATCTATTGCTTCTTTTGAACTTGTTGTTTTTGTAGGATAAAGCCTTATGAATTTTGTGCAGGCATCTATAACCAATAGTATGTGCTTTTTCTTAGATTCACTACTCTTGATGGGACCATAGTGGTCAATGTGGATGACATTGAACGGCGTTGTACCTTTGGGTATTGAGTGTAGATATCCTTCTTTTTTTCCGGTTTTAGATATGTACATCGACTTTTTTTCTTATTTGCGGAAACCAATAGCTTTTGTTTATTAAATCTGTTACTTTGTCAACACCTACATGTCCCATTTCATCGTGATACTTGTATAAAACACTTTCGATCATTGACTCTGGTACACAAATAAGAGTCCTTCGTTGTGCTTTTTATAAATTACACCGTTGCGCATTTCATAATATTCATTTTCCCTTTCTAATAACATGTCTTTGACTTTTCTTAACTTTTCATCTCTACTTTGTGATATTATTAAATTATCTTCGAAAGTATTTGTTTCTAATATTAAAATATTATTGTTACGACTGAGTGCATCTACATGCTGCATCCTTTTTCCAGATCTGTGTTCGAGATCAAAATCATAATTTTGCAATTCGAGTGCCCATCTCGCTATACGAGGGTTTAGCTCTTTTTTATTTAACGTTAATGTTAATGAATTACAGTCGGTCACTATTTTGAATTTAATACCTTGTAGATAGACACGAAATCTTTTGAGTGCGTTTATGATCGCTAATGTTTCTAGCTCGAAGCTATGATATCTCGACTCGACATCTGTAGTTCTCTTGGAGAAGTAAAATATTGGATGGAATTTACTATCATTCTTTCTTTGAAGAAGAATGGCTCCATAACCTAAAGAGCTTGCATCACAGTGCAGCTCGGTTTCGTCGTGTGGATTATAAATTGCTAAAATCGGAGTTTCTATCAGCTTATTTTTTAGCGCTTGAAATGCTTCTATCTCTACTTCTCCAAACTCAAATTTTTTATCCTTTCTTGTTGCATCATATAATGGCTTTGCTATTAATGCGAAATCTTTGATGAACCTCCTAAAGTAAGAACATAGACCAATGAAGCTTTGAATTTCGTGCACTTTTTTGGGTACCGGGAAACTATTTATGGCGTCTATGCCCGTCTCATTTGCACATATGCCATTTCCTGTTACTGTATACCCTAGATAGTTTACAGACGATTGCAAAAATTCGCATTTATCAAGTCGAAGATTTAAACTGTTGTCTACTACTCTTTTAAAAACTTCTTTAAGTATCTTAAAGTGGGTGTTGATATCTTCTGAAGCAATCATTATGTCATCTAAATAAATGATTACTCTACCATCTTTGACCATATCAGAAAAAATTTTATTTATGTATCTTTGAAACGTAGGAGATGCATTCTTTAGCCCAAATGGCATTCTTGTGTATTCAAATTGTCCTAAAGGCGTTGTAAACGAGGTGTATTTGATAGAATCCTCATGCATGAATACATGATGAAACCCATTTTTTAGATCTAGTTTGGAAAATAACTTCTTGTTCGCTAACCTTTCTAACAGATCATCTATCAGGGGGATTGGATAGTTGTCTTTTATAGTTACTTTGTTCAGCCTACGATAATCTACACATAATCTTAGCTCACCAGTCTTCTTTTTAATTAGAACTATTGGTGATACGAACTCTGATTCGCTGGGACGTATATAACCTAATTCTAGGTTTTCATCTAGAATTTTTTGTACTTCTGTTTTTTCCATGTATGATAATCTCCGTGGTGGACAATTGAATGGTTTATTACTCTCTACCGTGATTTTCATTATAGTTTTTACTTTGGGTTCTAGTGATCTATTGGCTAGCAAATATTGTTCTTCGAAGATACGTTTGAATTGTTCTCTTACTTTATAATTAATTTCTTCCCCCACCTTGAAAGTAGCGTTGCCTTCTTGCACAACATTGATGGCTAACATTTCTTTATCAAAATCGTTTGGCTCGCCTTCTACGTTGACGTCTATGTTTTCTTTGCCTTGTATATGTACATTGTTTTTAAAAGGATTCGATTTCACTACTTCTGGCTTTGAATTTGTAATATTAATTTTATTGTTTGACTTAACTTTGTGATAGCTCGCTACGTTGATTTTTTCTTTTGGCTCCACTATTTCCGCTACTATTGACTCTACTTTTGGCTCTACTACTTCCGCTACTATTGACTCTACTTTTGGCTCTACTTTTGACTCTTCTGTTGAGACTTTACGTTGTCTTATACTCTTTGTTGTTTCTGTGATGCCTACCCTTACAGGCTGTTCACAGTTATCATACCATTTTACATCGATCAATCTGGTCTTAGTATCGTTCACTGAAATTAATTGTAAGTTGCATAGCTCTAAGAAATCTCTACCTAGTACCATATTGTACCTTGTAGACTCATTGTTCACGACCATTGTTTCAATATTAACAGTTTTATTTGAAGTTATAATGTTACAAAATATTTTTCCAAAAATGACTAATTTACTATTATTTATTCCAACATAATCTTCATGGTCTTCAGTGTTACGAATTTTAAGTCCTTCAGGAACTATTGATTGTTTAACAAATGAGATCGGACTTCCCGAGTCTAGAAGGCACTCTATGTAATATACTTTGTCAGAAAAATGAGGAAATCTTATATTATAATATCTTACGTAATCGTTTTTAGTTTCTTTGATGTTCTTCTTATACAGCTTGCAATCTCTGGCCACATGCCCGTATTCACCACAGGCATAGCAGGCTCCATCTGGGCGTACAGGCTTGCGGCATTCGGCTGCGGAATGGCCCAAGCTATGGCAATTGTAACATTTCATGGCCTGTGACGATGTAGTTGTGGTCCCTGGTTGGCTTACATCTGACTTGGGTCCTGTGTAGTTCTTAACGTCAGCCAAGGAAGGACGCATCTTGGTGGGTGGTGGACGAGGTCTGTTCAGGTGCTGGAATGCCATAAGCATAGCCTCTGTCGAGACAAAACATTGAAGCAATGCTTGATTGCGTAACTGTTGATCCGGGATTCCATCAATCAAGTATTGTATGGTCTCAGCGTCGTTCATATTTAGATCTTTGGCAAGTAGCAACTTTTCGTGATAGTACACCACGAACTTTTCATCAAATATCCATTTTCGTTGTTCAAACTTGCGACGAGTTTCCAGAATGTTGTCCTTGTTTCCAAACATGACACGAAGTTGATGTAGAATTTGATCAATGCCCGCGGAGAGAGGCGAGTAGTTTGCGAAGAACCAAGCACTGGCTTTGCCTTTAATGCGTGCGCAAATGAGTGAGCGCATAATGTCATCTTCAACTTTGAAAATGGCTTGAACATTTTTTATGCAGGTTAGCCAAACATCAATATCACCTTCGCCATTGAACTCAGGAACGCATTCTTTTATTACATTAAATGGGACAGCTGATTTTTTGCGCAGCTGTTCGTTTTCGTGTTGCAGGTTTTCGATGGTTTGTTCTAGTGTTGCAAAATTACTATTTATCGGAGTGGGGCTGGAGCTGCCAACTTCTATTAATGTTCCGATTTCTTCTTTGTTGTCTTTTTCGAATACCAACGACATCTTTTTTGTGGTCTGCACTATTGCTTCAATCGGCGTTTCTTCTTTCCTCAACGTTTCGTTGTGTGCGTCGAACTCAACGAGCAGGTCAGTATATCCGTCCTTGTCTGATACACTGCTAGCTGAAGCTGTGGGTACAGTGCCGTTGTCGGAGTCTCCAGAAATTTCGCCAGTGCCTTTTAATGCGTAGTTGATTTCGTTATTTTCTTTGTGTTTAGGAATTGCGCCTTGATTGTCGACTATTGGTCCAGGTCCACGCTCAAATGCAGGAATTTCATTCAGCATTGCAATCAAGCTGGCCTTACTACCCTCTGTGGGCAGATTTAATCGAGCACACCAAGTCTTCAATCCGATAAGTGTATAGTTGTTGATGTCGAGATTATCCATTTTTATTGTTTTAGTCAGTAGCTTTTAATTGAGTGGGAGTTCTAACTTTAGTGGGCTTCTGAACCACTTCTGAAATTGTAGTCTGGGCAGCAATTCACAACGCGTGCTTTCTCGTCTCTGCTCGATCCAAAACTGATCTCGCTCTCATTTTATTCTTCTCCTTTTCTTCTTCGTATTCTTTGCGCTCTCTTTACATTGAGAGTGTCTCTATATGTGTTGGTGCTGAGAACACGATTACAGTGGGCTTAATGGCTAGTATT